TTTTCTTAAAAAAGCAAAGGGTCAGATTCCTAGACTCAAGGTCCAAGACCAAGGAGTGCCCAGTTGTAGGGGAAAACATCTGAATGAGTGAGGATCATATTAGATCTTCTGGGACCATGAATGTCTCCCTTTAGGCCTTGCTTTCTTTCAGTTTATTCCTCTAATGATCCATCCATCCACCCATCCATTGAACCATCTACCCATTCATCCACTGATCCCTCCATTCACTCAACCATCCTCCCACCCACTGACCCATGCATTGATCTACCCATCTACCCACCCATGCATGACTGAAGCAGTCATGCTTCATGCCTGAGACCACCTCACCTGAGTTGAGTAACCAATCTCAGAGCTTTATAACATAAAAATATGATCACAGGCCATTCAGGCAGAAATGAGCTAACTCTTCAGTCACCACTTGAAAGTCAAACTTTCAAGGTGAGTACTGCTTAGTTCTAGGGGATTCTTGAACTCAGGACTGGGAACCAGGACAGGGGTCATTCTCTCAGATGTCTCTGGGAATCATGCTAATAAGTTCTCTGACCTACATAATCAATAGAGAGCATCATGCACAAATGATTCTAAGTCAGTGTGGAGGTCTGATGTTCAGGATTTCATCATCCTGCCTTCCCTCCAGGTTTCTGATTGAGGGAGTATATTAAGGATGGGAAACACCAGCAAGGCCTGTAATGTCTAACTTTCTTCCTCTTGAATCTAAGAATCTGCTTCTCCCAGACCCTTGGTTGAGGAGCTGGAATCAAGGCAGAGAATGACCAGCTGGCTCCATTCCCAATAACACATGGACAGAGATCATAAAGTGATCACCTACTACCTTTCAACTCCAGCGCCTGCCTGCTCATGAACTGTGGCCCCAGCTTGGACCAATCAGACTGGTCTTCCCCCTTCCATGGGGAGGAGCTAAGACTGACTGATGGGCTGGTGAGGGGCGAGGGGCAGAGCGTTCCTTCTGCTTCTGCTGGTGGGAGCTTGGCTTGTAGCTTCATCTTCCCCATGGAGAAGGAAGTGAGGAAAGCTAAAGGGATTCCAGTAGTAGAGAGAGCAGTGATAGAGGCAGACACAGGATCTAGGAGTAGATGGAGGAGCTCTCAACTCCTCTGACAGTAGTCAGGGAGGTCTTCCTGGAGGAGGAGATATCTGACCTCATTCAAGCACTTCGTGGGCAGAGAGGAGGGGCAGGACATTTTCAATAGCTCAGCGTGATCAAAGGCATATGGGACTGAAGGGTAATTGAGGGCTTTCAGAATGTTGGGATGAGGCAGTGCAAGGCAGGGGGAGTACTGAAAAGGCAGGCAAGGGCCAGGGCCGGAAGGGGTTTGTACCACTCTTTGCTGAGGAATGAGGAGGGAAGTCTGAGAGTGATGATAAAAATCCACCCTCAGCATTGCTCGGGCTTTTCCAGAAGATCCTTGTGTGAATCCAGTGAGTCTGCTCCAGGCTCAGGAGCCATCCGGCTTCAGACAGGTTTCTGTTTCTGCTCTCCTATGGGGGAGGGAAGAGAGGGCCAGTCGGGGGCATCCCCCCTGAGATCAGAGTGTGTGGGAGGAGGGGCTGAGGATCCAGCCCTGAACTTTGCAGGGGCAGGACCGGTGACTGGAGGTTCACAGAGCCCCTCACCCCTCCCTCCATGCTGAGGACCAGTTGTCCCAGTGCCTCGTGGGAGTGGGTAGTGGGGGTGGAGGGGGCCCGGTAGAGATAGGAGCAAAACAATTAGAGCGCTCAGTCCCGACGTATTACTTTCCTGTTGCCGCTGTAACAAATCACCACTAACGGTGGCTTACTGCAGCACAGAAGTACTCTTCTGTAGTTCCAGAGGTCAGAAGTGTGCAATGGGTCTCATGGGCCTAAAATCAAGGCATCAGCAGGGCTGGGTTCCTTCTGGATGTAGGGGAGAATTTCTTTCTCCACTTTTTCCAGCTTCTGGAGGCTTCAAAGCCTGCAATCAGCAAGCCCATTTACCTCCTCCTCTGCTCCTGCCATCACATCTTCTCTAACTCTCCTGCCTGCCTCTTCTGCTTTTAAGGACCCATGTAATTAAATAGGCCCACCTGGATAATCTAGCATTACCTCCCCATCTCGAGATCATTATTTGTGTCTATACAGTTCCTTTGGCCATGTGGTGTTGTTGTTGTTCAGTTGTTAAGCCGTGTCTGACTCTTTGGGACCCTATGGACTGCAGCATGTCAGGCTGCCTTGTCCTTAACTGCCTCCTGGAGTTTGCTCAGACTCATGTCCATTGAGTTAGTAATGCTATCTAGGGCTTCCCTGGTGGCTTAGATGGTAGAGAGTCTGCCTGTAGTGCGGGAGACCCAGCTTTGATCTCCTGGGTTGGGAGGATCCCCTGGAGAAGGAAACAGTAACCCACTCCAGTATTCTGTTTTTTTTTTTACAAACATATTAACATATAAATAATGAGAAGCGTCAGGTCTGGGGGAGCCTCTGGCTGCCGGCCAGGAGCCAGTGCAGGGTGACCCCCAACCCCTGGGCCTGCCTGGGGAGCTGCGTGGCCCCCATGTCACTCCAGTATTCTTGCCTGGAAAAATCCCATGGACAGAGGAGCCTGGCAGGCTACAGTCCATGAGGTCATAAAGAGTCTGACATGACTGAGCGACTTCACTTTCTTTTCTTTCTAATGCTATCTAACCATCTGCCACGCCTTTCTCCTTTTGCTTTCAAGCTTTTGCCTTTCGCCATAGAAGTAACTATTACATAGGATCTGAGGATTAAGATCTGACCCTCTTTGGGAGTCTGGAGAGCTGGGGAGACACTGGAGGGGCACAGGGAAGGGGCTGGAGTGTAACCTCAAAGTGTCCAGCATCCAGTCAAATGACTGCTGCAAGTTGAATTCACAAATGCCGAGGAGACACCAAGTGAGGAAGAAACCCAGGTGACTTCTTGAAGGGAGTGGTTGGTCAGAGTATATAGAAAAGCTCATGAACCAAGGGAATGAGGTGAGCAAAGACAAATAACACAGAAGGATCAAAGCAAGAGAATGTAGATCATCCCTTCTTCCAACCTTTGACCTTTAAGTGGATTCCTTTGAGAGGGAGTTTGGTATAGTTGCCAATTCATGGGATTTGGGGCAAAGATCTCTGTTTATCCTGGCTTCACCATTTACTAGTTCTGTGACCTTCAGTAGGCTTCTTAACTTCTCTGTGCCTTGATTTCCTTCTCTATAAAGTGGGAATTATAATTCCTGCCTTCCTCCAAGTGACTTTGTGAGTATTTGGGGAGGAAATCATAGTGGAGGAGGTGTCATAGAAGTGTTCTCCCACCAGCGCTGCTGATTCTGTGTCACTCACTGTGGGCAATATCGAAAGAAAACAAATCCACAGGAGCTGCAGTGGTTCTTGGCATCTGCTAACTCGAAGTCTCAGAGCAGGGTGGAGTCCACTTGCTTCAGGAGGCCCCACTGTATCTTGTCAGCGGCAGACAAAGTGGGCCTCCTTCTCCAGATACCAGCAGGGGCTCTGCGGCAGGTGCAGTCAGCATGCGGGGAGCTGGCAGTCACCATTTGCTGTTTCAGTTCCGCCTCCCCCTCACCTCCCTCAGCTAATCAGACTCATCTGGCCATGACCCTCTACCGCTGCTCTTAGCCTTCCTTCCCTTCCCAGAGCCTTGGGAAATTTTCTTAAACTGATCAAAAAATCTATCCCACTCTCAAGTTAGGGTTGAGGTAAAGTGGAAGTCGCTCACTTATGTCCAGCTCTTCGCAACCTCATGGACTGCAGCCTGCCAGGCTTCTCTGTCCATGGAATTCTCCAGGCAAGAATCCTGGAGTGGGTAGCCAGTCCCTTCTCCAGGGGATCTTCCCAACCCAGGAATCGAACTCAGTTCTCCCACTGAGTTCTTGCAGGCAGATTCTTTACTGTCTGAACTACCAGGGAAGCCTTCTAGAGCAAATAATCCTTTTCTTGCTATATCTTATCCCCTACATATCCACATGGATGCCCAGGAAGAGAGGATCAGAAGCAGTGGTTGCATGGGCTTGGTTAGCCCGTACTGTTTGCACTTCTCTGCAGATAAAAATGCAGAAGTCTATATTTACCACATACTGTTCAGCATCTCTGCATCTGGGAGGTGTGACTGGGCTGCTATGAGGGGGCTCACAAGCAAAGATAGATGTCAGTTTGTTGGTTTGACGCAAGAAGTAGAGGTGTAAGCCCTTGACTCTTGACAGGGCACTCTTCTTAGGTGGTGAGGGGAAGGTCACATTCAAGTAAAGGGTGAAGCAGATGGCAGGAAAGGCCCACCAGCGTCATGGGGTCCCCATTGGCTCTGCTCCTGGGCATGCAGCCCATCTCACAGCATCAGGGCTGGTGCCCTTACCTGTTCCCTGGGCTGCTGGGCCGGGTTGAATGGAGGGCAGAAGAATAGTTGACTGCTCACCACCGTTCATTGAGGTGAGTGTGGCCACAGCTTCCTTCTAAGAGACAGAGCACTTCTGTAATGGGAGTCTCTTAAAACAATGGAGAGCCTGGGTTTTTCTCTTTTTTGAAATTGTTTCTTTTTTTCTCCAAATTTTATTCCAAGAAAGAAAAAAGGAGGGGGGGGGAAGTGGGTAAATTGTGTTTCTTTGAAAACACGTGTGTGTATATGTGTGTGTGCATGCACATGCACTTTCCTGACTGTTCGTGTCTGTTAGAGATGCCTCTCTGAAAAAAGAAGCTGGATTCACCACATGTGAAGATGGGGTTGAAATATGGGCCATGTGGTCTCTATCAGATTCACTCTGGGCAGCCCTGAGGGTGAGTGGCATTTCAAAGGATTAGCAATCATCCCCCAGCAGCCAGCAAGAGGGCTCAATGAATGCTGATCTATGCAATGTGACATACACCATACATGTTAAGAGGCCAAGGTTCAAATATGAATCCCAAGCTGAAAGTCACAAGGACAGACACAATGACAGTGTCAATTTTTTTGACTGAACTGCTTGGCAAGTGGGCAACTCTGTGTAACTGCGTGTGTCTGTATGGGTCAGGATGGGCTTGCTGCTGCAAGAAACAGCCCCCAAATCTAAAGGTGAGATCCCACTAAAACACATTTTGAGGATTGACAGCATCACTGGAATAATTTTATAGGGCCTTTCAAGATGCCGATTTGAAGGAACAGCACAGTTTATTTAGGAAAATTGTGTGTGTGTGTGTGTGTGTAGTGAGCAACTGTAGTTTTGGTTCTGTGCATCTTTTATTCATGATCTGTGTAGCTCTTTTTTTGCTCAACCAGATTGAAAGACCTTCAGTAGTAGAGGTGTGTCTTCAGTTATAAATCATCCCAATCGTGGCTTTAAGTATTTTTTATGTGTTCTGTCAACCCATCCATCTCATCATGGGTTCATTCAGTCACTCACTTAGCAAGTACTTAATGCATGTGTACAAGCCACTCTTTTTGATTCAGAAACCATGAAACCAGATGACAGCACTTGTTCCCTCAGCAGCCTGCAGCTCGCTTTGCAGGAGTGTTCTAGGATGAAGGAGGAGGAAAAGGGCACAGACTTCTGGGCTGGCCAGGTGGAGAGGAAAGAGGATTTGGAATAGACTGCTCTTGGATGTCTATTTGTCTATCTAACCAAAATGTTTTGAGACTCATAATTATTCACCACATTTTCTTATGGACTGAGGACAGAGTATCACCTCTTCTCGAGGTGATGGTAAAACATTCCTGGTAAATACAGTGTCCTGGAAAAGTCCTGGAAAATCTTCACATCTGTTTTAGAATTTGTCGTGTTACCCAAGACACCCAATCTGAGCTTATATTTTCCTCATGAGCAGTAGGAGCCTAAGAGATAGGGGTGGACCCTGTTTGATGATTCCAGGGACAAACTGAAGGATCCCATTGTTCCATCACATAGCTGCGTTCAGAGATGAGGGTGTAAAGCCTTATTTCTGAAAGTGTGGTTCTCAGCTCATTGACACAAAAAATGACCTGGGATTCTTGCCAAAATGCAATTTTCCCAACCATTCTCAGACTTACTAAATGAGAATTTCTTGGGTGGGGCCTAGGATACATATTTTAAAGTAATCGCTCCCCTAGATGATTTTCTAAAGGTTGAGAAGCACAGGTGGAAAAGTTTGGAGCTGACCCGAATCTGAGACCTGTCGTCTCCATCAGCTCCAGGCTCTGCGACGGCAGTAGCATTCCCAGGCCCAAGCTCTGTATGCTGTTTGCTGGTGAGGCGTGCTTGTCCATGTTGGGACCGGATAAACCAAACTGCAGGGGGCATTTCCGCATGGACTACCCTGATGGGCCAGAGACAAAGCATGACAGAACCTCGTTCCACTAAGAACAGGGGAGGTGGGCTACATGACCTTGGTGTGGTATGCACAAGTGTGAGTATTTGCAGCTGTGGGTCTATTTGTAGCCCTGAGTATACAAATTTTGTTCTCTCTGCTGTTACAGCCCCTCCCCCTGACCTCACAGCCCTACCCTCAACTCCTTCCTTCCTTCCAGTCCCACTTGCATCTGGGGTCCTGCAATTCATGGTCAGTCCTTATAAATAAGAAAATCTTCGCTGAGCCTTCTATTCATTATCTCATTTGATCCTCAGAACAACTCAGTGAAATATTACTGTTCTTCCCCCCATTTTACAGATGAAGGAATGAAGGCTTGAGAAAGTTAAGTAATTAGCTATTATAGTAAGTGGTAGTACTGGATTTGAATTCATACCACTCATTGTTCACAGTCCCATGGAGGCCAGCCCAGACCCTAAGTCCCCAACAGCTCCTCCTGCACCTCCGTGTTGGCAGACTGTAGCCCTGTGAGCCAAATCAAGCTTAAAATCTGCAGTTTTTTAAAATTGAGGTGAACTTCATATAACATAAAATTAGCCATTGCAACCAATTGCCTCTTTTTGATAATAAAGTTTTATTGGTACACAACCAGGCCCATTCATTCACGCTGCCGTCCCACTACAACGGGAGAGTTAAGTAGTTGTGACAGAGGCCATCTAGTATACAAAGCCTAAAATAGTGACTATATTGCCTGTTATGGAAAAAGCTTCCTGACACCTGCTTTAGAGGGTTTGATTTGGACCCAGGACCTTGGGAGTAAGTTTCCTCAGACATCTCTATCTCCATGAAGAAAGGCCTCTCCTTCCTGAAGATAAACTCTTTCTGTGTTGGATGCACCTCCCGGACCTAGCTCCTCAGCCTCCTCCAATTCCTCCTTCATCCTCCTGTCTCAACCCACACACAGGTCAGTCCTGGCAAACACCTTGTGCCTGATCTACTGGCTGGTTGGTATCTATCTCATTTTTTTCTTTCCCTGACAAATGCCTGGTGTAGACCGTTTATACCTGGACATTTCACTTTCTCCCCTTGTATTTTCCCCTCCTTACCTTTACAACCCAGCATGTGCCCTTCAACTAGCCTTTTGCATACATCTCCTTGTGGATGTCTTGGAGTTAATACAAAATTCAAGTAATCCATGCAGCATCCTGTCCTTGCTAAGGCCATGTTACCCTGTTCTCTTGCTGTCTCAGATCAAATGACTGTGGAGCCATCTTTGCCTCTCTGTTTCCTTACATCTGTTCTGCTACCACATTCTGTTGCTTTTGGGGGCAGTATCTCTTCGGTTGCTCTCTTCCTCATTCCCACCATCAATCCCTTGATCCAGGCCTTCATCACTTCATGTCAGGATATCTACAGTGGCTCCTGCTTGCCCTCCCTACCACCCTCTCTCTTTTCTAATCTGCTCTCTGTAGCTCAAGTTTCAAATACTCAGAGCTCAAATGGCATCAAGCTCTTGGTGGTTGCTTTCATTGTCTTTCCAACCTCTTCTCCCCACACCCCCACATTGTGCTGAGCATAGGGGTCTTCATAGGACTGAGTGAGTGAAAGTCACTCAGTTCTGTCTAACTCTTTGCAACCTCATGGATTATACAGTCTATGGAACTCTCCAGGCCAGAATACTGGAGCGGGTAGGTGTTCCCTTCTCCAGGGGATCTTCCCAACCCAGGGATCAAACTAGGCACCTGTATAACATGCTTTCTTCCACTTAGAATGTTCTCCCCTGTTTCCTTTGCTTGATAAACTCCTACACATCCTTCAGGAAAGAATTTTAATGTCACTTCCCTAGAAAGCTTTCTCTAGCAAATCCTCAATGTTCTTAGAGCACTTGGTTCATACTTATGTAAAACAAATTTCTTTATATTATACTTATTTGTGGTTCTGTTCCTTCTCCTGATTTGCTGACTGGTCAAGGGCAGGGAGAATATACATCTTCCTCATCTCTGTATACACAGAGCATTGCATAGTGCTTGCTGGTACACAGTAGGTGCTCAATAAATGCTTCTTGAGCAACTGCTTTGATCATGTCCCTCTACTGCTGAAGGCTACATGCTCTTGAGTATTCCTACTGCACTAAGGATAAGGAAGTGGTTATCAACTGTGGCTGTAAATTAGAGTCACCTGGAAAATGATTCTAAAATTTAAAAAATTTATTTTTTTATTTATTTGGTTGAGCTAGGTCTTAGTTGCAGCATGTGGGATCTAGTTCCCTGACCAGGGGTTGAACCCAGGCCCTCTGCTTTGGGAGGTTGGAATCTAAGCCATTGGAACACTAGGAAAATCCCAAAAATCACCTGGAAAACTTTAAAAAAATACTGATGCCCCATCTTATGGTCAATGGTTCTGATTACATAGGTGGGTTCCAGGCACCAGCATTTTGTAAAAATCCCCTCAGCAATTCTCATATTCAACCAGGGCTGAGAAACTCTAGGGCAATGCCTGGTTTTTAAAGCTTTCATTCACTTCTCCATCTCCTCAGGAGTTCCTGCTCAGAACCCCTCCTGCACAGTGGCCTCCTTCCCAGACCTCTCTGTCTCATTCAGGCCACAGTTCCCTTCCCACCCAGACAGGGGCAGGGACCCTGGAGGTTCGCGTCCCTGGCCACGAAGCACAGGACAGCCAGTGTTGTGGGAGCTCCCTGAAGGGTGTGGGCTCAGCACAGGGTTTGTTTGGGTTGGGTGGGGAGGAAGAACAGGGTGGGAGCTGGCGGCCATGCCTATCCTGCATCTGCACCAGCGTGTGGACAGCCCCAGTGCCCTCCACTGACAAATGACCCCATGCTGGCAGAGAGCTTGGAGCCTCAGATATGCATGCTCTGCTGGTCAGCAGTCATGCAGCCCTGTTTCCAGCCCTGCACTGTTGTCTGAGTCTCTCCTTATGAGGGAACAATACAGGGGATGGGACAGGGCACTGGTTTGGGTCTGAAGATACGTCCAGTCCTGGCCTTCTGTGTGTCCTCCGTGGGCACATCCCTCCTCCATCCCCCAGGTTCCTACAGCTCAGTCACTGAGGAGCTTGTCTACACCAGGGGCCCCATCTGCTCAGAGACAAGGCCACTTGAAAGGGATAAAAGATGTCACAGGCCACTTGTTCTCAGTCACTCACGTGAAGCAGACTTTTGGAGACAGGATATTTTGAGACATTTATTGTGTTTTAATTGTTATTTCTTATCTTTGAGATATGTATGTATCTTGTATTGCCTACAGTGGGTCAGGATTGGGGAGATCTTTTGTCTAAGGCCCCAGGTTCAATTTTGTTTTCTCAGATTTTAAAAACAGGCAAATCAAGATGTAACTATTATTTATTTTTTCCTTAATGTGTTTCTTTAATGTGTTTTATTTTTGCATGACACTTAACCACTCATATCCATCATCTATCTTGATTGTGAGGTAGTCATGCCTACCAATGGCAGATATTACTGTCCATCCTTTGCAGATGAGAAAACTGAGATTAATTGATTGGCTCAAAGTTGTAGAAATAATAGAGTAGAGAGGCCAGAACAAAGGCTCATGTGTTCTAACTTCCTACTCCAGAGCCCTTTTCTAAAAACATCGCACTGGTCCACCTCCGTCTTTTAAAATGGAAATAGTTTTCTTTTCTCCCCCCTGCTTATAAAAGTAATAGATGCCATCAAAAGACACATACACAAACGTTAATAGCAACATTATTTGTAATAGCTGCTCATGGAAACCACTCAAATGCCCATTAACCATAGAAGGGAAAATAAATTGTGGG